GTGTGTTACTGGCGTTAATTTCATCGACAGACATTTTTAATGTAGGCGTATTTCCTCTATATAAAATCACGCCATTGGGCCTGAAAGTGCGCTGGTATTTACTGCAATAACAAGAAGCGGAAGTTGGTACAGCGACTACAATTCCCGATGTCCCATCCCCCCACCTAGTGTCCCCCACTATTGGCGTCATTTCCGTTTCCTTTCCACAATCAAAGCAAAGATGGCGCCGTCCAAAACGAAACATGGGAGTGCTTCTGCGGAGATTCCTGGCGGCTTCACAGGTAAAATAACCGCGGTTTTGTTGAAACGGGGTGGGGAGGTGAATTAACCAGACCAGAGCTACAGGAGATGGAGGTCCGAGCGAACGAGGATAGCCAGCATATGAGTTTCGATGAGCGAACAGCCTCGGAGCGCGGTGTCCACGCTGGCGGTGTGCGTGAACCTTCCTGCTGTATGAGCAAAGTCAGCCAAGCGGCCGCAGGATCTTCAACAACGAATTAAACACCTATGTGGCCGGACGCAAGGCGCAAAGTAAGCGCCACTGTCCGTGTACTGTTACAGTTGGGCGTGAACTCTGCTAGTGAGAGTGAAGGCGGTAACTCCACTGTCCCTGCAGTAACTGCAGCCGTTAGCACGACACTGTCCGGCTGACACTGGAAATGCGACTCCCGAGAAAACCTCTTTACAGTAGCTCCTTACAGTGATAACAGACCGTCGACTGTGCAGCCGAGACAGGTCACAGTCGAGGCGGGTTCGCAGAGAACTGATCGCCGGACCTCACCCGGGGTACCGGCTTCGACAACATAGCGGGGCAGCTGGTGTAAATAATCTCCTCCTGTTCCCTGGTTTTAAAAATGTAGTTTCCCTTGTGTCCTTTGGTTCTGGTTCTGAACTAGATGTCCCCGGCTGATCGTGTGGGCCGTGTCAGTTTTACTGTCAGCAGACAGCGGTGGTTCTCCTACTGTTCACATAATGGGGCTGTTTGTGCAGTTACACTTTGTGTTGATCCGTGTGCCTCCACTCCTCCCCTCCCTCTCTCCCCAGCTCTCCCAGTGCAGTTCTCCCAGTCCAGTCAGGCCCATCACTGGCTGTATCTGAAGGAGCACAGAGTCCGGGCGGAGAGCGGTGTCACGCGGCCCCTCGACCGGACCCTCTTCGTGCTCAACATCCCCCCGTACTGTTCAGAGGTGTGGACTGGACCCTTGACTTAATGCTGTCAAGCACTGTGTGCACAATAAGAGAGATCACTTTAATGTACCGGGAACCCAGGGGCGGTCCAGCAGAACGGTGTCACGTCTCGCCCTCAGCCTGTGTGCAGGCTCA